TACTCCTCCAAAACTTTTAGCACTTCTACGTTACATTCCATACTGTTAAAGGGGGGTTGATAAACAAAATAAAAATTTTAGGATCTATCTAAATAAAACTATATGAACCAATAATTTTGTCGGAAATACATTAAAATTTTGGATGGTTCAGATTTAAGGTTTTCTAGAAATAACTTTTGAGGTACACATGACGTTTACTGGAAAAATTTTATGAAAAGTTTTATCAAAAGTAACTAACAAAAATTCAGGTTAGTGTGCCTAACATCACCTTTATCATTTTACAGCTATATAATCTTCGATAATATCTTAATGGTATAGACATATAATTTTAAATATCGATTTCAACGAGTCATCTGTTCAAAAGCTAATAAAAAGGTACATTGAACTTCTGGAAAATAGGGATGGTTTTATTGATAGTTAATTGAATAAAAAAGTTGGAGCTAAACGTAAACCAAAAATACACTTTTCCGATAAAACTTTAGATAATCAATTTTTTTAACAGTAATAATAATAATAAAAAATAATAAAGTTTGCGTACTTTTGATTTCAATCTACGTTTCGTACATTTGCTTGAGATTTTTAATGTTATTAAGTTATAAATACTTCAGCAAATGTCCATGCAATATTATTTATTTTTGAAAAACATTTATTATTGCAATGTACATTGAAATTTTGCAGATGTATATTAAAAAGTCACAAATTATACTACTGGTATTTTTGATTACGATTACAGGAATTTCAGCCGTTAGTATAAAATTCCTTAAAAAGCTCTTTATGAGAAAAAAAGAAAAAGAAAGAAAGAAGGGAAAAATAAAGATTGTAAAAGAAAGAACCGTGTAAATAAACAATAAAAAAAAAGGAAAGAAAGTAACGTATACTACGATATTTATACGTAGACGTGCAAGAATTCACGCCGTAAAGAAGAAAAACAACGTTCGTTGGCTACTTTTCCCACCCATACCTTTGTCCATCCCAATCAATATATCGCATGACGTCGCTACGGTTATACCTACTATACTCCAACGGCTACATTTCATGCGGGGGCTGTGGCTGCGGGAATAACGATGCCTAAAGGTGTGCGCGCGCTGCTACGGGGCGACCAAGTTTTCTTGTTAGGTAAGTCTCAGGAGGACCTTCGGGCAGTTGCGGCGTTTGTCATGTCAACTGGTATGAAATTTTACTCTCTAAATTTCTTCGGGTGTCTGGTGAATCATCGTTAGAATCGGATACATGATACTTTGTTGAGTTTATTTTTGGAATCAAGAGGTTACACGGATCTTGAGTATCGTTGTCTCATATCTGATATTTTATTTTTGGTTGTTGTATTGATTTCGTACAACCAGTACTGTACAGTGGATGTTTTATGAAAGCTCGATTTTTTTATTGATTATATTATCGTTGCAATATCAAATTAAAGGTATCGACAACCGAGCACTTAATAGTTAGAGACAGCCAAGTGTCCATACGAATTACGTATGCTGTCTTCCCCTGAATGTAAAAAAAATCTACACATTAATTAAAATAGTAGATATGCTCCGAGTATAAATTTAATTAACAAAAACACCCTTTGATTGATTATTAAAAAATATTATTCAGTAATGATTTGTAGATAAATCTTGAGAATTTTAATTTAAAGTATACGTACCCCTAGTGGGGTATATATATATTCTGCTTAAAGTTAGTGGCTCGTATATTCGCCATGTGAACAATCAGAAGTGTTCAAGATGTTTACATAGTGGATATACAGAGTATGTAACAAGAAAATGCATCCAGAGCGGGTCGACTAAGGTCGAGCTCCGTCTATGACCATCTGGGTGTTTGTAGGGTTTCAATTCAGTAAACTTGACAGCAAAGCGCGCTATTTGAAATTTCGTAGAAAGTTAAATTACGTGTGTTTTGAGATTTTTTATAACTCGAGATTTGGAAGTTTTCGCCGTGGCCACCATGCAGTGGCAAATGGCCTTTTTTTTACAACCTCTTTGGTATGAATATGAAATAAAAAGGGCACGTAGAACACAGTAAGATGTTCAACACCATCCTAAACCTAACTTGACAATCAACGCGAAAGGTTTGATGAATAGAGCATGATAAACTACGCATAGTCAATCTAAAGTAAAATGGTGGATTATCTGCATTTTGCTACAGCCACTTTGGTACTGTAATTAAATTAAAGGATTTGGCAAGTGAGATCTAAATATTTTATAACTATAACGCTTCGAAAAATTTTGAAGATTTGTGAAGATTTTTAGAATTTCAATTATGACTGCACTGTAGATAAGTGTTTTGAGTATTAGATTTTTGTTCGTGCTCTAATTTGGTCAAGAAATATCAGTGATTCAATCATACGATTTGTTTTAAGAGCCCATAGCGTTTGTACTTTATTGACTAGCAGACTAGAAACTGGAAAGAAAATAAAAAAAAGCTTCTACTTATCGAACTTGAAATAAAAATTAACTTTTTTTTGCTAAACGTTCAAATTTTCTATCCATCACCAATAAACGAACACAACGGGAGTTTTGATTAAAACTCTCAATTCAATCAGTCACACGTCGTCATTTACTGGAAAATACAGTAGCCACACACCCTAGAATCGGCTTTTAAAATACATTCGCACATTTTCTCCGACCGAAGCTTCACGCGCTTCAACAAGTAACAATACCTCCGGTGCAAAAAAACTGATCCCTCGTCCACAACGAGAAAACGACATACAGTCAGCTATTGGTGAAGAAAAAAAAAAAAAAAAAAATCCCTACACCTTTTGAATCCCGCGCAAACAAAAGTGACGTCGACAACGATGGCCACTCGACCGGAGGTAAACTACCCCAAAGCTCCCGAGCGGCTGGTAATCTACTCCGGCGCTTCGGCTGGATTTGTATTCACCAGCTCCGCTCTCAGCCCCTTCCCCCTCGTCACCGCAGCTACAGTACCTACGTCAGAGCTGGAGGTAGGGTGGGGTGGGGATGGAGAGGAATACACTTTGCCGAGACGGTAAATGTAGTCTTCCAAGGAGACGGAGCTAGCGGAGCGGAGGAGGAAAAAAGAAAAAGCGACAAGGGACGAAGCGGACGTGGACGGGCAGGGGAGAAGATGTAACGATTCGGGACAGCTCCGTAGTGGGCGGCCAATGCTCGCTGACCGACGCCTCTTTGCGTGCACTTACGTGTGTACACACGCCTGATGGGTGATCTCGGAGAATCGATATACTCAACGATTCAGTAATACTCAAGGGTGAGAAGAAGGAAATAAGCCAGAGAGAAATATCGATTGCAATGTTCACGATATCCACCACTTTTTTCTCCGTCCGGATGAAAAAAACCAAGTGGCAATGGATCAACTTTTAGAGGAGAGAATGCTTCCTCGTGGAAATAAAAAGGCATTCGTATGGCTCGCAAAGTCTGCCTTCTGTCAGTAGCGTTTGCACGAATGTTCCCACCCACAATCCTGGACCTACACGTTGCGGTCAGATCGTGCTTTGGTGTCGTAACGTATAGTCCTTTGAAATAATCGATATCGTCAATCTTGGAAGGAACCCTCTTGCGTAAAAAAACAAAGTGAAAAAAAAAAAAAAAAAAAAAAGAAAGTAAGAAACTCTGCTGCGCGTGTAGAGAGGATCAATCGGGCGGTCGATCTGGTTCAAGCGGGACTCGAGGGGCGCGCTACACGTATACGCGCAGCACAGCTGAGTCGCCAGCTCGAGGGGGGAGTCGTCCCACCTCGTTTGGGGGCGGGGAGGGAAAATCGAAACCCTGCAGGGGGAAGAAAGAGGACGAGGAAGGTGGAGGCTCTGGCGTTGTCAGCTGCTACGTAGCTCAGTCAGTCAGTTTCGGGCGAGCATGTCGCGTGCACGTGTCAGCGTTGCCCAGGTCGAGTCGATCCGGCAGCGCGACCGGGCCTCCTGTGTCCAACGCGTCGACGACAACAACGACGAGGACGACGATGAACTCGAGTCAACGGTGGCGGCCAACCAGTGTCGTCCGCAGCCGCAAGGGCACCAGTATCGCAGGGGAGGCTCGTTGTCGCTCGTGCTGGTCTTGCTGATATGCGCGTGCGGTTGGACCAGCGCCGAAGTGTTCACCAACAGCTTCCTGGTGAAGCTGAGGCAACCAGCGGCCAGACACGTGGCTGACGAGGTCGCGTCCAGGAATGGCTTCGTCAACGTGGGACCGGTTAGTCACGCGTCGTTTTTCTAGCGGTGATGGATGGATGAGGGGATTAAGTGCGATGTACGGCTGTTGAGATGTCGGGAGCGGGAAATCCCTCTGGGGGACGGGTGGTGTACGTGTTTACGCAACGCCGCGCTCAGCTCGAGGTGCGCGTGGGGGCGAACGCTGACTCGTACTACTTCACGGCTGCCTCTGTTGTTTGCTGATGCGAAAGTGCGACGAAACGGAGCTCGATGTTTGTTTGCTCGTGCCATATGTTCTGCTCCGTGGTGGAACCGTTGTTGTTGTTACGTTCGGATTTGCGGATGATTGGGTACTTGGTTTGTTTTACTTAGCTGGTATATTTAATGGTTTTGTTGAGTCCACTTGGTTGAGGGGAAAACCTTTTTTTTTAATTAGTATGGGTCGGTGGGGAGGATGGATCGCGAAAAGTAAATGTTTTTACATGTAGAATGTGTGGGGTTTAAAAGTTATTGAGGTTTTTGGAGCTTGGGGCAGAAGAAAAGTGCCACCCAAATCTTTTTTTTTTACTTATTTTCTGGTTGAAATTAATTTTTTAGGAGATTATCGAAAAATCTAAAACGTAACTCGTGTTTTTTGGAATTAGATAATTACGTTTGACTGAAGTTTCGATTAAACAGATTGCCCATTCATACTGATTTTTTGTTGAATATTTACTTTTTATACGTCTCAAAACATAAAAAATAAAAAACCAAAATCCTTGAAAATGTATGAATATTAGCTAGGAATTTGTTACTCTACTTTTATAAGTATGCTATGAGCTCTGAGTACTTAAAACGTTAAACACAGGATACAATAAATAGGTTAAGCGTAAGCATATTCTCATGTACCGTGTTGTATTGATTTTCCAAGCTTAATAATTTATTTATTTTAGTTTGAGGGAATCAAAATTTCTTCACGAATTTTTACATCCAATATTCATCTTTGCATTATTTGCTTTCCAAAATCGAATAATTTATTCACGCATTGAAAATTGTTATGAATAATAAATAATTACTATCTAATAATGAAAGACCTTAGAAGAAAACATTCCTAGTATAAAATACTTAAAGGTTAACAATGAGGTTCAAGTAGTGGGATGAATTTATTTAGAAGGTAATGCTTAAACAATATTTTTTAAGTAATATAAAACTCGAGTATTTATAGCTTGACTTAACATCGTTATACCACGCTCATAAAAATGTGTGACGTATGTGACGCGCAGAAGAGCAAATATGAATTACTCATGCAGTTGTAGTCCTAAAGTTGTCGAAGCAACTTTGTTGATTTGTTATATTAATTGTATAGCAATAAAAATAAACAAAGAAAATTATTAATCAACGTGGGTTGAAATATTTTCACAAAGTACATTATGATTGTGGTAAACAATTTTCCAACAAAGCTCGAAGTATTTAACTAACATTTTTTTTACCTGGCAAAAACTATCTCTGTGCTTTCATTATCTCTTTTTCAATGGAACTGTCAAATGCGGTATTAAAACTCTTGGTATGATAATTTTTGACATAAACACACTTGATATTCGTGTGATTGATAGGTGAGCATACTAAAATGCTAATAAGATATAAATATTATTAGATATTACAAGGTAACAATATTCATTTGCCAGTTTCTTCATTTTATTCGAAAAATAATAAAAATGTCCATTGATAGAGGCAACTTTTTATCTGGTTATGGTGCCTCAGAAGTTTAAGTCCAATAATCTCCTGTTGCGGATGGTATCTTTTTAATGTCCTTAACTAAGTATGCTCTTCTGCTGATAAGAGAAAGTACGATTTATATGTTGGTAATTAATAAAACGGTATTTTATTGAATCGTCGATCCTTTGCTAAAGAGTCAGTTGCATCTCTTCAGAAACACATTTATTACCAATATTCTCTAAATAAATCCTATCGTATTCTTCCGTACCCACATTTTAGCAATTTTAAAACAGTAAAAATTTGCTACTCTCATATCTTAAAAAAAAAAAAATCTTTGTAAAAAAGTTCTTGCAATCTAAAATTCAAACTCAAAGGTGAGCGTGTCCTCAACTCGCTCGAGACAGTCCGTATACTGAGTGCTATTTCAAAAGAGACAGAGCGACATCGGAATCGATCCGCACACAATGTCCCATCTTCTCAATAGGACAAATCCGGTTTCACGGTATAATATCCGCCAGACACAAAGGCTTGTTGCGATCGAAGCGTCGATTAACCCGCGTTCAAAGTTCGCGGACTTATCCGGGCCAAGTGAAAGTGCGTTTGATTAGATTCCTCGCCGTGATGAGGAGGGCGCGCAATGAGCTATAGCAACAGCAGCAATCTCTACCATTAAAGCACAGGAGATTGTATTTTCTAGCCAATTTCCGGAAACGTGTGGCATTTCATGTATAAAAATATTCCAAGAGTATACCGTAATACTAGTTAGTAGACTTTATTTGCGAAATAAATGAACCATGTTGTAATAAGTTTTTTTTTTCTCATTTTTTTATAAATCACAAAGTTCACAAAACATCAAATCCGAATGTAATCTTGCCTGGAAACCATTAGTGATTGAGAAAGGTACCATCGGGAAAACTATAACAATCAAAGCTCAAGATTAACGGCGCAGTAAAATGTGTATGTGTACAACCATACGAGTGACATCAATGAGACTTGAGTCGTCTTATATTGGAGCTACAAAGAATCGCGACAATTGCGATCGACCGTCGGAGCGGATCAGCTCAAATGGCATACCGCATACTACGGGAGCCTTGGTTGGGCTTCCTCTTATTATTTTTTCTTCAACCTCCATCGCGAACTCTCCTGATAGACCTTTGTTTAATTTTTTTTTTTAGTGCAACTGAGAATTGGTAGGTACCCGTAATTTTTACTTGTTCATGTACAGCGTTTTTACGCCAATATTGTTTTAAACAACGATGCAAGTATTCCTTGTACGAATTCTCTTGTGGTAAAACCAGTAATTCAAAGCTTTTTACGTAACTGTTGAACTTAGTTTTTCTATTCGAATCCTTTGGTACGAACACTCGAAAATCTGCGAAAAATATTGCCTTTGAATTTCTTCAAGTAAAAAAACTTGCTGAATAATTATTATTGTATAATAACTCTCGAATGATTGAAAATTTTTGAAACTAAAAAAATCTAGAAATATTTTTTTACACAAGTTTCAAAATGAGTTTTTAGGGTGTTTCATTAATTTTTCTCGACAAACACCATTACATGGTTCCGTTAACCGTTGGACAGCCGTTAAAAATTGTCAAACGCCCACCACAAAGCGAGCATTTTACTTTTGTTTACCACGGTAAAATTTCACAAGTCAGGGCGATAAAATCTACGTCCAGATAAAAATTAACATCACTAACGCCCACTTCTTGGTTCACTTACCATTATACGTTATCGAATACTACGTCATGCTGGCTAATCGATTGTCTGACCTGTTGTGCTAGACAGGCACCGTCGAGAGATCCTGTGATTGAAATGCTAATTACTTTTTTTTAACAAGTACCTAAAATAGATGAAAATACAAATTTACTACTTCATTGGTTATTATGTAAATCCGTTTGATTATTTTTAAAAATAAACTCCACAGCTCAAGCTAAGAAAAAAAAAATCACGTTATTCTTATTATTTTGTTCATGGAAATTTTTGTACTGTCATTTACATGGTTTCTACACCAATGACGAACTTAATATTTATGGAATTTGGACTCGGCTTCTAAATAAAATTCTACGTATGACTGAAAGTTATAGCAAAAGTTTGTTCAACACTTAGTTTTGGAGCTTTCTCGTAATTTGCATTTGTGATGACATTAAACAGGTACGAAAATATAAAACCGTTCAAAATAAATAATACTTTGAAAGTCAAAACAATATGAGTGTGGATGTAATCGTATCACATTGTCTTACCAACTCATCTTTTTTTTATTTTTTTTTTTTTCCAAAAAAAATGGGAGAAAAAAGTAATTCGTTTTATTCGAAAAAAAAGACAATAAATCGTTCGAACAAAGAGTAGAAAAAAGAGGCATCCTATCAACTTGCAGATAAAAACGAACGCATTGAGATACGCGCTGTTTATCCCTCTCTGTGTTGTTGCATCTTACGTAAAGATGCAATATCCTCGCTTCATTTGATTATGCAACCCTCAACAACAAAACACTCGCTTTCGAGTAGCTTCGGCGTAGGTCTACGTAATACGTGTACTGGAAATCGCCGACTCCAACCTAACGGTAGAAATCTCGCGACTGAGAAAATTATCCACCAGTCGTATAACCGGGATCAGATTACCGGGGTATTGATAAATAACGCCTTTCTCCTGCATAGCCATTCATTAACAAGAAGCACATTTCAAGGTCCAACCGGCAGCCGCGCCCTTCTTTTACCCTGTTGTGGCTTACCTTATTTCTATGTACAGTCGAGACCTTGTTTCATCCTGCGATAAATCAGAGTGGTAGGAAGACCGATCAGAGGGATTTGAGGTTAAATCGTTTGATTTAAGTAACACGTGTCTGCTGCCCCCTCGCGGTTTCTTCCTTTTGTTCTCGTGACTCGATCTTGGCTTTTAATGCTATCATGTGTCGCTTAATGAAATGAAAACACTATCTGAAGCTCAAATCTTAGCTCAGTAAATACGAATTTGATTTTAGGGTGAAATTCTTGTGGTTCGAAAGATGTATGAGGTTTTTTCGTGCTTTGTTTTATCCTTGTCATTTCTATGAAAATCTGTACTCCGTAGCCTTCATACATATTTATTTAACAGCTTGGGTTTCAAACAAATCTCTGTTTCATTTCTCGAGATCTTTTCTGACTGAACAGGCCGGATATTTTTTTTTTTTTTTTCACAGTGGAATATAAATTTTGCCCATCCCAGTATATTCTTGAATGATAAAGATAAAAACTTTATCTTCAAATTTTTGTATTGTTTTAGTAGATTTAAAAATTCTCTTCTTGTTTAAGTAATATTTACTATCAAGTTTTTGGTTTCTCAAAAAACACTATTTAAATTTTTGTTTTTAT